ACAGATAAAGCCCACCTCTGAAGAGATGTGGGCCGCCATTGAAGCCATTTTCAAACACGTGTCTCAAACGGATTCATTTGCCACGGGATCTACTCGTAATAATTATCTCATTTCTAACTTAATGTTTGTTTCATTTGTATCTATGATTATTAGCGCTTCATTGTAACTAGTTCATTTTGGATTTAATTGTTTTTTATTGTAAATATACTTGACGTACTTCGCATATAAAACACTATAAAAATGTAGAGGATTTCCTAATTTAAAATAAAGTTTATATTTTAAACAATTTGCTAATGTTTTTTAGAGCTACATTGTTTCATTGATTTTTTTGGATAAATAAACAGTTTATTGATTCCAACCATCCGTTCCCTAATTTATTATATTTTTATATAAAATAGAAATATTTTTCAATTAAAATTTTTCACATATTATACGAGTTTGACATTTGATTTTATACAAAAGTTGTAAACATATTTAGGCAATTAAAATAGACAGTCATTATACCGCTAAAGCTATGGATGAATTACGTGAATCAACACAATATTTAGCTACTGGTGCTGATGAGCAGTTCTCGTTTATTTTGCTCGGCATTACGGTAAGCATTATATATCTGTTAATTAAAATATTTTCACATTTAATTAATTATGTAATCATTCATTTTATCAATCATTCAATTATAGGGCGATCTATCGAGAAAGAAATTAATGCCAACCCTATTGTATGTATAAATATTCTGGATATTTTAAAACTATCATATTATTTATTTATTATCATCAACTTATAATTATGTTAAATTTATTTTTAATTTAGTTCACTATATCGACAAAATCTATTGCCACGAAATATTAATATCATTGGATACGCGAGGTCTAAGACTTCAGTGGATGACATCCGAAAGTCTGTCGACCCTTATGTGGCCCTTAAGGACAATGAAGAGAGAGCCCAATACGAGAACTTCTGGAAACTTAATTCATATTTTCACGGAAACACAGATAAAGCCAGTGATTATGTGGCTGTTGAAGAGCACCTGAAAATGTTAGAGACGGGAAAGGGAGCTGCGAATAGGCTCTTCTATTTAGCCCTTCCGCCTACTGTTTATGCGGCCACCGCTTCGGCTCTACATTCAGCCCTTATGTCGCAAACGTATTCAATAATATCAATAGTTTTGGAAATTATATGATTTATAACTAAAGACATATTATTGTGATTTTTAATTAGGGGTTGGAATCGACTCATAATAGAGAAGCCTTTCGGTCGCGACAGTGAGAGCTCTAACACATTGTCCGAAGAATTGTCAAAATTGTTTACAGAGGACCAGATCTATCGCATTGACCACTATAATCCGTTTCTTTACCATGTCTTAAACGAAAGTAACTCCAAACGTTTGTCTTATATGCTTGTCTTGACCTTATTTCTGTCGTAAAGATTGCAGCTCTATGAGAAGTTTCTCGGCAAACCGTGAGTCCGAAGGGGCGGTTATTTCAATCAGTTCGGCATTATTCGCGATGTCGTCCAAAATCATTTGCTACAAGTGCTGTGTTTAGTGGCAATGGATAGACCGGATACTAATGACGCCGAGAAGATCAGGGATGAGAAGGTCTGACACAATGTTTTGTGAATTCATTTTCAAATCATATGTTTATCTAATTTTAGGTGAAATTATTAAAACAAATGGAAATTTTGGATTTAAAAGATGTGGTTTTGGGTCAATACGTGGGTAAAGCTAAAGGTAGTGGTGAATCACTGCTCGGATACCTGGATGACAAGGGAGTGCCTAAAGACTCAACTGCGGCCACGTTTTCATTAGTAGTTCTGCACATTAATAACGAGCGCTGGAAAGGCGTCCCATTTTTCATACGATCGGGAAAAGCATTGAATGAAAGTCGGGTTGAGGTTAGGATCCAGTTTAAGGGCTACGATAATGACCTCTTTGATGGTCAGTCCAAACACAATGAGATTATAATAAGACTTCAGCCAAACGAAGCCATATATCAGAGACTCAATATTAAGAGACCGGGGATGGGGTTCACGGTCCAGGAAACTGAACTAGACTTGACTTACGCGACCAGATATCACGTGAGAGCACCCGCACTATTGCCGCAAACATCTGATTGTTTAGTAAAATTTAATTTCTCTTAAACTTATAGAAGGCTGAGTTGCCGGACGCCTACGAGCGCCTACTTATGGATGTCTTCGAGGGCTCGCAAATCAATTTTGTGCGGACAGACGAGTTAAGAGAGGCCTGGCGTGTGTTTACACCCGCCCTCAACCACATCGATAACCATAAGATACAGCCCTTTCAGTACGAGTTCGGCTCTCATGGACCTAAAGAGGCCGACGCTCTACAGGCCAGGTATGGCCACAAACGCAGGAATAACTGAACATTTATTGGTTTTTGTGATTTGGTATGAAATGTGTATAATATTTTGTAAAAGTTATTTTGTAGTTTGTAAAATTTTAATGTTATTTAATAATTATACTAACTTGTAAGCACTAAGTAACTATAGTGTAGTTACTACACCATTGTAGTAAACTTTTATTATCAATAATAATTATTAAATTAAATTAAATTAATTTTGTGATTTATGGATAATTGTAAATTTAAGTCACAAAGTGTGATAGTTGTGAATCTTAAAGTGATTTTAAAAAATCATTTTTGTAATTATACATCAAATGCAATAAAAATTTACATTTATATGAAATGAGTGGTTAAGCTAATAAAATTAAAAAGAGTATTTATTACTGTACCTTAAAATATGTTCAATCCAAATCAATTATCAATAAAATTTAATTTTGTATTTGCATTATTGATTTGTAGGGCAATATTTTCTCACACAAACTACTTGTAATCGACTTCAATAGTGTCTATTCATCCAATCATTTATTAATTGGGAATACAATATTTAATTATTCAAACTATCAAGATAACCGCTGTTTAAATATATGGCAAAATGCAGTATAGTATTTAGAAAATGAAATATAACTTAAATTTTTAACACAGGAATTCATATGTTCTCATGAATCTTAAAATTATGTAAATTGTTAAATAACACTAAAAATAACTCATTTTAAAATATAAATTAAGATGCTAAAACTACATACTATACCAAAATGCACTGTAATTGAATGACATAGGACATTGAAATGAGTGACCCAAACCTGGATTATAAGTGGTAAACAAATTATGTTAAATCACTGGTGAGTAGAGATCACACCGAAAACAACTACTGTTTCATAAATGACAAGTTATGTAAACTTTTCAATAATATGTGATTGTGTCCTTAAATCTTAATTTTAAAATAATCACTAAATTATATTTTAAATGATTTATAAATTATAATTCATAAATGTCAGCTGCAAACGTAAGTTATCTATAATGTAATTATAATATCTATTTTATATAAATTAATTTAAATGTTTGCTAATTTCAAACTTTTGTCTCATTTAAGGCATCATTTTTAAGTTTAGTTACAGCGGCAGCTATTTTAACTGCATTTAGACTGCCGGCCCTTTTGATGTTTCGGGGATCTGTAAGTCATATATACTTGATTTGGTAACTAATTTTTAAATTCAAATTTGTTTGCAACAAATTTATAGCCAATTCCTATAAGGAGACCACTTATGGTTGTAAGAGTACCGGCCCCTAGAAGTCTACCATCAATGGGATCGGTATCTCCTCGTTTAGCACACGGCCATCCCTTGGGACCTATTCCTTCAATTGGTAGACCAATGTCTCGTTTGGGTCATCCAATGCCACCCGTGCCTTACAATTATCATAAATCATTTGTATCGCACCCGAACCCAAAACAGCCAGAAGTGACAAATACTGTCCCAAATAATAATGGCTTTTATCCGATACATCCATTTGAAGATAAAAACTTTAAATCAATGGCAAAACCAACTCATTATTACCCGTTCAGCCATCAGTTGTCACCTCATCATCAGTCCTACGACACGACCGCCACAAACAAGGCTCACAGGTATCACGAATACCAGCCCTTCCGTAGCCATGAACACCAGTCCGTGAAAAATAAAACAGCAAAAGGTTTTGCCGAATATGACATCAAATCAATGACCACTCCTTTTCCCAAATTGTTTCACAACTTAAATGCCAACAGCGCTGAGGACGAGCGCCGGACCTACTCTATGATGTATCCAATGCCTCGACATTATAGCAATGATGACAACCAGATTAAGCCCCCGATGACCACAACTACTGCACAACCGATCCATTCAACCACAACTACAAAAATGACAACAAGTAGTGTTAGCTCAGTGACGACCATCAGTTCCGCTACCAAATCGACAGTTAAGTTATTTAACTTTAAAGGAAATAAAAGCATTTTATATTATGAGAAAACTACTAAATCGTCAAAAACATCAAACCCTGTGCGAGCTATTAAATCAACAACTCGTAAGAAATTTGGAAATAGGATTATCACAACTACCGGCTCAACACCGAGTATGACTCCTGCGCCCATTGAATATTATAAACCAGTTAAAGCTATCATTCCTCCTAATGACGGCTCACAGACATTAATGTTTGATAATGTTAAGCATCTATACTATATTGTGTAAAATCCATACAATTTAATAAATCTCTAACAAAAAGTGTCACATAAAAGAGTTGCATAAAATGTGTAAATATTTTAATTATTTTTTACATTAGAAACCAAAATTATTTAATCAGCTATATTATATACAGTTGAAGTTTAAGATAACACTGAAAAGTCATTAGTTTTTTGATTAATTTGATTTGAAATTTGTCTTTATTTTAAAATGCATTCATAAAAATAATTCAAAATTCATGTCAAACTACTTAGACTTCAATGAGAAGGTGTAGTCCAACATCTGGATCCTAATCTCATTTTTGTCCTACACTTTGCCACCATTAATAAAACAAGAAAACAATTAATTTCAATAAGAAGTTTAATAGATATTTATTTTTAAAACAATTTTAAATATACTAGCATAATTTTACGAGTATAGCAAATACAGTCAATTCTGAACGTTTCATAAATTAAATGAATATCAATTAGATTTTAAGACAATAGTGTTGTCCAACATCTCAACTCTAAGTCCTTTGATACCACTGTGTAGACAACAATTACACTTATGACCAGGGATATCTTTAGCCACTACTTGCTCACAGTTTCCGCATTTGATGTCCAAATTTCCCAATCTCTCATTATCTCTCCTAAGATGTCTGCACTCATCTTCACTCATCTCATAGTTTTTGGACATCTCCTCAAACTTCTCCAACGCTATCCGAGCATCGATTGACAGCTTATTCAGACATGAAGTCTCCAGACATCTCTTCATTTCGTTCACTCGAGTCGTCACCAACTCTTCAACTCTTTATAATTGCAAACAATAAGCAATTTTGGGCTCAAAAAATCGGTTTAGGAAATGATGTATAACTTAATATACAGCTAACTCACAGTATGGTTAATAAGTTTGTTATCTAATTGAAAAATATTTTTAAGTACTGTAGTTAGTATTTTTCCTAAACTAATCATATGGAAATACTGTATAAAGATTAGTATAGCATATCATGAGTTAACTGTATATCTATTGTTATGAAAATCAATAATTAAATAAAAGACTGAATATTTGATAATAAGTTTTTCATACTTGAGTTTTTCATTCTCCACTTCATTCACGAGTTTCTCTTTGATTCGTTTGTGACTAATATTTTGTTGTCTATTAATTTCCTCCAATTGTCTTATTTTATCCAAAGTGTGGTCTCTATTCTTGATATAATCATTCAAATCCAAGAGCTCTTTCTCTGAATTATATGACAAATGAGAATCAATTGTAATGAACTTTTCCCAAAGCAAGCAAACCCAGAGGGGTATCAAAGGGGGCATTAAACTAGCATAAAAGGGTATTACTATAATTAATTTATATACAAATTCCAATCAAGATTACAAATGTAATATAACTGATGAAAATTCGTTGAACCAGTAAACCCTCATATTATGAATAATTCAATAATTATTTTAAAAATTTCTTTCCCTTTTGTATTCAAATCATAAATTAGTCGTCTAGTCAAGGATGACATGATTTTTTGTTATAAGATAAAGATTTTATATAAATGTCAATGGATTTTATCAATTACTGCTAACTGATCATTCAGTTGAACTTATCTAAATAAAAGTATGCTGATCAAATATGTTAAACAAAGGTTTGTGCTATTGAATAGTGAACTACTAATTATAAATTGAGTTGTTTTAATAAAATGAATAAATATTATTATTTATTCAAACCTAACGATTCATTTTTCTCCATCAGAATAGACTCCTTATTCTTGAACTCAATTCTCATGCCTTCGATCTCATACTTCTGTCGGTTGAGCTCCTCCTCGAAATCATTCCTACTTTTTCTGAATGTATAGATTTGGTGATCGATTTCCGTCTGCTTCTCATGTAATGAAGTCTTTAATTGTCTGATTTGGTTATCCTTTTCCTCGCAAACTCTGTCCAATTCCTCTGTAATGCGATTCCTCTCGAATTCATACCTTGAGTTCAAAATGCATTTAAAGTCTCCGAGAAATTAATTAAATAAATGCTCCATAAGTCTGGAGCATTAAAGGCCTAAAACTTTAATTTATAATCATTTGTGCAAATAATTGAATAATTTTGTTAAAGTTATTCCATACACTGTTACAAATTTAAAGATTTTTAATGAAATTTTAGATTTCGATATTTATTTTATGTAATATTTTAATTTCAATAACAGAATTAATGTTAGAATTAATGTAAAATATACATTCAATTGAATGCAAAGAATTTCATTAAGAATCAAAACCTCAGTTAACTTATATTTATAGAAATAAGAGATTTTGATTTTGCAAAGCATTTCATTTAACAGACAAACAATGAACTCATTTAGCAATTGATTACTTTCTGCTAATTATCCTAAAGAAACACAAAAAAGAGAGAAAATACAAAACACAAGAGACGTATAAAACAAAAAAAAAGTGAATAAAATTAACATTTCATTTACCGAAAGCTAAACTACAGACAAACATAAAGTAAACATTAATTTGAAAATACAAACAAATCTTTATTGATTCGTGTGTTAAACAAATCTTTACATTAAATATCTGTTTGACATGTGATCCCAAACTTACTTTTCCAGCTCTTCCTCCAAATGTCTCACTTTTTGCTGAAGACTGGCTCTCGACTCGACGTCCAGCCCTTGTTTAGCGCCATTCCCTTTATTCTTGTCGTTAAGATTCACTTTATTAACAATGATTTTATTAAAATTTGGAGATCTAGTGACCGACTTTTTATTAGCATTTGTTTGGTCAACATTTTTAGTCACTTTTGCGCCACTTTTTATTGATTCATCTTTTCTTATCCGATTTGCTTGTCTC